GAAAAAGGTTGAGAGAATTCAATACTCACAGGACAGGAAAGTCGCAATAAAATTATTTGAAAAGTTTGAAGTGGTGGAGGGAAAAATACGAAAGAAAAAAAAAAAAAAGTCATAAGGGGACATGTATTGCTGAGAACAAGTCAGGAAACTGTGGGGCACTATGCCCTTACCCCAAGAGATCACTTGCACGTGAATGGATAAAAATAGAAACCATAGCAAATATTATGAGATCAGGGATGTTCAATGTCATTGATTTTCCCCCCCCCCATGCATGGTTGTAAATGTAGAGATATATTGTAACTAGGGAATGCTAAAAATTATCAGTCCACTCTAAAAGAATGAGGAAATATATCAGAAGTCTCCAAGAATTGGCATTACACACTGTCAGGGAAACCCAAAGCCCAATAGTTCATTGACATTGTGAGATAGCTGGGGTGCACTTCATTATTGGTAGTAATGATGCTTTAACCCCTGAAACCATGTCTGACCCTAAGGTCATGTAAGGGTTGTGCACCCAATGAATTTTTAGTAACTTTGAAGTAGAGTTGTCCCAGGTAATGCTAAAAAAGTGGTATACCCTGGAGAAAAAGGTCCCCAAATTGATAAAAAAAATTTTAACGTGTAAATGATTATGTTAAAATTAAAGAGGGAAGACCAAGGTATTTTTTAATTATTTTAAAAAATTTTTTTTTCATTTGCAGCATATTTTAAATTTAGTTTGAAACTGTTTTTTTGTTTTTTTTTTTTTATGTCAAAAATTAGGTAATATTAGCATTAGTTTTTTTTTTTTTTTCACTATTTTCAGTTGGAAAATACACATTGATTTGGAAAATCTTGCAAAAATCAAGTACTTGTTGGATTTTTATGAAACTTTCAGAACTTATTCACAAATGAATGAAATTATTTTAGAAATGTTTGTCTTTTTGAAAGTCATGGTATAAATATTTTTTTTTTTTATATATGTTACACCCCCCGAACTTAATTTTATGAAAACTTCAAAAATTTAATTTTGTATCTGGATTTTTTTTTTTTATTAAATCTGAAGATTCTAAATCATCGATTTTTTTGGTAAAAAAATGGGTAGAATTGTCCAAACTTTTACCTCACTTGTAAACATACAAAACCCAATAAAACTAAGACAATATTTAATTAAAATAGCTTTTTAGGACCTTTCTGAATAACGTATACTAAGGTAATTCTTATCGGAAAAAAAAAAAAAAAAATATATATATATATATATATATATATATATAAAATTATATATTTTAAAATTAAGTTTCTTTATGCAACCTCATGGAAATGACATTTTGTTCTCTACTTTTTGAAGATCATAAATTTGAAAGCTTATTAAAATCTGACAACCAGTGATATTTTTAAAATAATTTTTTAATATTCCAAAATTGTATATAAAATCGTCTCCAACGAAAGTATGGATGCACAGCTTTGAAATAATGTCACATGAGAGACTTGTTTCTCATGATAGAAGCAAGTTCTTTTTACTTCAGAAATTTTTCCTCAAATGTAAGTTTAAAAAGATTTGAAAGTGAATTTTTTTTTAAATTCACAAACCAGGTTCACTTAAAATTAGAACGAATTACATCACTTCTGCGCTACCGTACGATAAATTCCCTTGACGTAAGTTGTCAATATATTGACACCCATCAATTAACATTTAACACCCTTCAATAACGTACCCGCGCGAGTACCATGGTTGGAAATATCTCTATTAAAAAATTTTCTGCTAAAAAAGTAAGTAATGTTTCTTTCAAATTACATTAAGTATACTTTAATCATTCTAAATTTCCTAAGATAACAAAAAAGGTGTAATTGAATTTTAATTGATTTTTTAACTAATTTTGATTTTTTCCAATTTTTTTTTACAAATTCGGCCAGAAACGGCCGATAAATCGAATTTACTAGTTTTTTTTTATTCAAGAAAAACGAGATTTTTTAATAAAATTTTTAAAATTTATAGGAAGAGCAAAAAATCTGAAAAAAATATTCAAAAAATACTTTGGTCTTCCCTGTTTAATTTTAACAAACATTTTTACACGTTAAAATTTTTTTTATCAATTTGGGGACCTTTTTTCTCCAGGGTATACCACTTTTTTTTAGCGTTACCTGGGACGTCCCTACTTTGAAGTTAGACATTTTCATGCAAGATTGCTTCAGGAGAGAGACTGATTCCTGAATAAAGTCAGTTGCAGATGGATTTTTACTTTTACCTGCAACTGACATTTAATTCCAAAGAATTAAGAAAAAAAAAAAATCAATTATACATGTGGTTAAACGAGATTAAGTAAAATGATATGAGATACTTTTTTATTTAAAAATTTTAAAGTGGAAAAAAAGTTCAGGTGTGGAAATTTTTTTAAAACTTTTAAATTTTGCCGCTGTACGTCGGATGACAGTGAAATTATGAAATATTAAGGAAAAGCTGTGCTTTCATAATTGGTTACTACTTCGTACCCGTGGTTCCTGCCTATTAAATAATAATTGAGATTAAAATATCACCATTAGAAATTGTTTTTCTAACCATCAGTGGTGAATGAATCAGAACGGTAAGAGACAATCGAGTTACTTCCCTTTTTATTTACATTTCAAACCAGTGAAATATTATTGCCTCATTAATTCTTAATTGAAAACAGCAAAATTATTTTCAAACATTTCCCCATGTTAAAAATTGATTCTAGTATTTTCATGGAAGAGTGGTCCAATGTAAAATAGCGCTTTAGTCACAGACGAAGTTATTTTGCTTAATCGCCAAGACGGTTCAATTTTTGTCAGCCAAAATTAATATTTTTAAATTAATCATTAATGACATTAGAAATAAAAAAGTTGTTCCTGGCTAAAATTAATGTGGACAAAAGTATCGTATTTTTACCAAGACGGTAAGAAAAGAATACATGGTTTCACTCAACTGCATTAAATAGGAAGATTTTTATACTTAAAAAAATAATTGTACTGAAATAAAAATGGTAAAACTAAAAAAAGTCTTTACAAATGGACAGAAACTTTATAAAAAAAATTAAAAAAAATACTCCACATACCTACATTTTCTATTAAAAAATTAGAACCATGTTTGTAGAAAATATTTTAATTGAAATTAATATTTTTAACACAGTAAAATCTTGAAAAGAGGGTCGGTCATAAACAGAATAGGTGACGAAAGAAAGCACTAAGTAAATTTCGTCATATGCGTCACCACAATTGAATAAAGTATCTCAAACAATTACATTATGGCTATTGAGTGAAGTCTTTTTTAAATGACTAATTCTGTCAAATTGGAATAGAACACCGATATTAATCTTTAAAATAAAAAAAATCAATTTAAAATTTAAGTGTATGCTGTCTTTCTTGAAAAATTAGTTAAAAAAAACTGCCATGTGACAAAAAAAATACTTCAGGAAGTCTAATTTACAATCTGGTTTAAAAAAATTCTTAAACCAACAAGACTAAGACTATTCAAAGAGTCTTCAGTAGGTCGATAATCAGACAATTTACATTGCATAGATTGTAAAACAAAAGGTCCGAGTTACAAAATTTCCAAATTTGAAACATTCTTTAAAAATACGTGTGTGTGTGTGTGTGTGTGTGATTGTGTAGTAAACTATAATCCAACAATTGGGCAATGCGGGAAACTTATGCTAACTTGCGCAACTAAACAAGATATTTTTGGAAAGTTGCCTGAAGTTAAATGAATTCATTTTAAAATAACTTAACTGGAAGCTAATCTATGTTCTTTAAAGAAAACACAAATTTAAAGTCACATAACATTGACGTTATTTAAAAAAAAAAAAAAAAAAAAAAATCGGTATCAACACGAACAGCTGTTCATCACAAGACAACTACTTATTAAATTTTCATTGCCCCCCCCTCCAAGATAAACCAAAAAGTACGGAGTTACTTTTTCAAACTACTTGCCACGTGTTTTTTTTTTTTTTTTTTTTTTTCCCCTTCAAAATCGACATTAAAAAAAAGAAATTAGAATAATTTCCAAAGATCATTAAACTAAAAAAGTCATATCGTGGGATGGGGATTTAAACTGTTTTTTTTTAGACTGGGTAAAAAAACCAAATACTCCAAGAATTTGTTAAGCGGGAACTTAGGATAGGGAGCTCAATAACAGTCTGACTGGTATAATTTTGCTAGGTAAGTGTGTCTATGTGGGGAAAAAAATGCAACATGTACGCGGTAAATGTTCAGGTATTCAAACCTAATAAATAGAAGCTATGACATCCTCCCATCCCACAGAAAACCTCAAAGTACAGATTTTGTGGGTAAAGTCATCATACTCGTTTTAACGATAAAGGTATTTTTTTGTGTGTGTGTGGAAACGAACTTCAAAGCGTTATTTTAATTAACATTGTTTTCTTTTTAAAAATCGTTTTGAAGTAAAATAAAGGATTTAAGAACGTTTTTTATATTATACAGAAATTTAAAAAAAATAGGAGAAAAAAAAAAATTTAAATTTTAACTCTTTCATGCCTAGAGGTTTTTTTTTTTTTTTTTTTTTATTTATGAATCACGATACAAACATTAAATAAAGTAAAAGAATACATACAAGTAACATTGGTAGAATTATTTTAAAATTTAAAAGAAATAAAAAAAAAAAATAACGAATTTTGAAAGAATAAACTACTAGCTAGTTTTATTACCTAGGTCCGGATCCTTATCGCTGCGAAATCTTTAGTTAAGATTTTATTCAATTTTACTACAAAAAGGTGAAGCAAGGGATTTTTTTTTTTATAATAAATTAAAGAAAAAAAAATTTGAATTTTTCTGAAAGTTTTAAACATAAAAAACTGCTTAAAAAAAAAAAATAAATAAATAAATGTCCTAAAAAAACGCAAAATAAATTGGAAATGTACACCAGAAAAAGAATTTTAGACGATCGAATCTCAACCTTAGAAGGAATATTGAAATAAAAATACTCAAATAAGAAAATTGTAATTATTTAAGTGTTTTGTATTAAATAAATGAGAAAAAAAAACACTTACCGTGAAGCGGTTATGGTGTTACTGACGGAGGATGTTGCTCCCAATGAAAGCAAAAACATCAACACGAGTAGAATTCCCAACTTATGAAACGGAGAAGAAAAACGTAGACATGCTTTTTCTTGTTGAATATGTAAAGATGTTTGCCTTTTTGTGCCTAGACACTTTCTACACTTTAAATAAATATCATTTAAGTTATTGTTTTTTTCTTCTTCAAAATAGACTTCAAGGGTGTTGTTGCTTACATAAATAGTCCTTTTCTGTCTTTTTCCAATTAAATTCTCTTTGTTCGTCAACATCATGGACGTGTTAATTTTTTTTTAAAACTTACTCAGGGAAACAAAAAAAGTGGGAAGTCTTAATAATTAAAGCAAGTCAACTGATAGAGTTTCTCTATGATTTAACAAAAAAAACTAATACATAAAAAGAGGGATCCTTACTTTTTTTTTTCTTTTGTTTAAGTAACGTTATTAAACGTCCCGTTATAAGACAATTTTTAAATTACCCTACTTTTTTGTGGGTTAGTGTGTTGAGGAAATTTACAGTTGTATTACCAAAACAGCCAGTGAATGATTTTCCCCCGACCAGTTATAGAAAAAAAGATAAATACTTTTAAAATACAATTCCAGTCATTTCTTATTCTCAACAAGGAGTTTTTAGATACTTTGTATAAATTTCGCTCTTTAAGTCAGTCCTGTTCCAAGAAAACCGTCCATGGAGACTGCCCACCGAACTGAAAGTTACATTTAATGTCCGATAAGTTTAAAAACGTTTCAGTTAACTCACGTAAAAATATAAATATTTGTCTATCAGTTAAGTAAACACTTAAGTAAAAAGCAGATAAGTAAGTACTAAGTAAATATAAGGAAAATCCCTCCTCGTCGTAACACTACGAGCAATGAAACTTTTCAATTTCTAATCGGGACATTATTGTTGCTAGAATGTTAATGGTAAAAAATACAGCAGTCCGGATACTAAGTTGTTGTTATTCTATCTATAAGGCTAAATTAAGTACAAACAAGTCCATATATATAGTCCATTGATGAGGAGGGGGAAACCAAAACACAGAACTCCTGTCTGCTGCGATGGTAAACTGTAGAACTCTTCTGTGATAAGTGGTGATTTTTGTCTCTACGTGTGGATAATGAAGAAGCGGTTCCCTGCCTCGGGCAGTGCATCTTGAATAAAGGATTCCCTGTCTCTAATACACACATCATACAAACAAAACAAAATTATTAATAAAAAGACTGGTTATTTTTACACATACTTTGAGGAATCAAGTAATTATTTTTATTTTCAACATTTTTTTCTTCTCATTTTTAAATTAAATGAAATGATTAGCGTTTCTCTAAAAATTTGACATTTTGACAACTATTTGTTAAAGTTTAACTAACAACAGTTAAACTTAGAAATACTCGTGAAAATTTTCACAGTTTTCCTATTTTAATTTTCTTAAGCAAGTTAATGACCGAATAAGCTCATGGCAGGTTCTACAACAATATTCGTAAAAAAAAATCCCCTAGCATCGTTAGAGACAATTAGAACTTAACAACTTTAACAAAATACTTCAATAACAATTAGTAAGGAGGTACAAATGAAAAGATCTGAAATTGTCAACTTTTTCCATTTCAGTGAAACAGACGTTAAACACGTTTTATTGTCTTTCTTTCTTTCTTTCTTTCACTTTCTCACTGAAACCAAGTAAACGTCTCTTTCCACGTGATAAAAATGGATGCCATTATTTATGAAGTATTGGCAGAGTGTAACATACATAAGTCCTAATTAAGGAACTAAGGGAGTGACAAGCAGAATTATAATAAGATTTTTTAAACTGTATTTCTCTTTTTAATTTTATTTTTGGTTTTATTTTTGCGCTTTAGTTACCAGTTTTTTTCCTTTAACATTTTTATACTCACAAAAATTAACATCTGTTGAAATAAAATGTTCTTATTCGTGAGGAATCTAATTGATATCAATCACATCAAATTTTAGCAATTAATTAGCTTGTTCAGATCACAGTTAAATATAAGTGATCACTAAGTCCATGGCCTGATATGTAGTTACTAGTTATTAGCTGAGATATTGTGATATGAAATTTCTACCATTATGTTTGATCTTCCTCAACTATAGTATAATAGTATGACAAATTAGACACTCTAGCCATGGTTAGCAACCAATTCTAGATGGACAATTTAAAACTGAGTGTTGCACTGGCAGGGCACTTTCTTTGATTCTAACTAAGGTCCACTCAGAATAGTTGTAATATGAGCCACAGGTTGGCTCTGTGGATGTTGAAGAAATACAAATAGGCCTGAGCAAGAAGGGTATCCTTGTAAGACATGCTGAGGACAAGAATCACACTGATTTGCAGTGTGCCTTCGAGTTGAAACAGCTCTGCTGCTGCTGCTGATTGATCTATAGGATTAATCTCCACTGAATTAAGTTCATTGAATAAAGAAATGGAATATAGTTTAAAATAAATATTTCTTGCATCAATGTCTTTTTCATCATTAAGCTGCCAAATTATTGATGCCTTACACCACTCGCCAGCCCCCCAAAATTAAATTAACTTAACCTATTTCATAACCTACTTGGCAATTAGAGAAGGGAACATTCAAACTTAGGATTTTGAATGCTGATTTTAAAGGCAGGTCATCCCTACTTAGGCTAGTGTAATACAATCTTCTGCCCTTTTCTTTTCTGATTTTGTATTTTGTTTTATTGTAATTTATATATATTATATATATATTACATTATTTTGTTTTGTTGTTTTTTGGGGGAGGGGGAGCCTTTTCCTAAGCTGAAAGTTTGTAACCTTGTATTGAACAATTTGATTGGTACCATTTTGTCAACTGCTAAATAACAGTTATTGACTTTGGATAATTCTGAATTAAATTAATTTCTTTCTGACTTTCAGCCTGGATATGTGAAAGGAACTGGTCAGATGCTCAGCTGTGCAGTGACCATATGACCACACCCAGTCACAATTTTAACAAGCAAGAATAATAGAAGAAGAGTAACCAGGTAGACAATATATAATGAGTGACATTGCATTTTAATCATTGAAGATCAATGTTGGCTGAAAAGCAAGAAGCCCAGAAAAGAGTTCCACAAGGAAGAAATGCAAGAGAAAAAACTGTTACCATAGAACTTACAGTTCAGCTGTAAAATGATGTGACCTTGTTGCCAATCTTGTATTACACTTAAATTCATAATGCACTATAGAGGAAAGTTCATCTGAATAATTACTATGAAAGTATTTATAGAAAGGTCAGAGAAAAGCTACAAACTAAAATTTAAAAAATAAAAATACAATATCTGATGTGATGTGTTCTATAAATTCCTCATTTTTAGAGAATTATTTGTCAAATGTTCTTCAAATTATAAAATCTACACTAATTAGTACATAAAATTGTTTTATCTTGAGTGTTTTAATTTAATATTACCAGATGTTCTATCATAAATAAAAACTGTTAATTGTTTATTTTCGATTAACTGAAATTAGTAATATTAAATTACTACAGGTGACATGTCATGATGAATGTTAAGAAGTAGTAATATAGTGAGCTTGACAGGAGTATCAATGGTATAAAATGGTTATTTGACTGAAAACATGTTCTTTCTCTTCTTCTTAACTTGTGAAGATCCTTTGTTGGATGTAGGCCCTCTCCAGATTAACGGGGAGGAATAGACCATTACCATACCACACTGACTCAATGCATGTTGGTAGGGGCAAATGTAAAATGTTTGGGCAATTATGTCTCTTTTTAATTCATTATCACCCAAGGGTATTTGCACGTGAATGAATATAACAAACATAACTGGAATTTGAACTCAGCTCTCCAAATCCTCATTCCAGGCTATTATCCATTATATCACCATCATATCATGCCTGAGCTTGCAGCACGTGGTATTTCCAAGTGGTTACCTATCTAGGTACTGACCTGACTCAAAATTGCTTAACTTTGTTTCAACGTAAGCAATAATGTGTTAAATTCCCACAAATACAGAGAGAAACAGTAGATCATAAGAGAAAAGTGGAGACTCAACACTTCTAGCTGAGATAAAAAACAGTATTAACAAATAGTCAAAAAGATGGATACAACATCTTCTTAAGTAAACAAATATGTAAACAAAAAACAAGGAGTTATTATTATAGGAAATTTCTCAGTTTTTTTATAAAACAATGGCTGTGTTATTTTGACGATGTTCATATCAACTGTTTTTCACCTTTTATGAAAGTGGTTTATTTAAAGGTATGGTAAGAACCTTTTTACTAGAGCAGGAATTTACATGAAGGCTAAGTCAGTGTTTTTTCCTTGACTGCATGCAATAAAAAACAAGTAGAGGAGATGGGCACTGTCATTTAGGTGAAGGTATGTAAAAGGAATTCTTTTTACAGGGGGGCATGTGAACACCAAAATCCTTCTGTCTTTCACAAATCCTTCTCATCATTTTATTCTACTAATCTTTCTCCTGCCTTTCCCCTTCTGATTTTTCCAGCCAATTTCACCCCTTATATAGGGGCCCCAAATAGGCTTCAAACTCAAGTCCCAAATTTTAAATTGTGTGGGAAGAAGTCCCCCTTGGCTAAAAAATCCAAAAATGCATCTTTTTATGGAATTTGAAAATCAAATCTTACAAGTAACAAACCTCCACCTTTGACTTTATTTTGGTGTTTTTTTTTTTTTTTTGAGATTCTATTTTTACAAAGCTTAAAGAACAAATGTTACACATTAAATTTATTAGTTGTTTTTTACTAATCGTTTGGCTTTCTTTTAATTATTTTAAACACTTCCCTTAAAAGAAAGTGTAATAAACAAACCTAATCTATTATAATATTTATGCTTTAAACTTCACCTTTTTATTAATCATTTATTTAATTTACATTCTTATAATTTAAAACTATTCATTTTTTATAATAGCAATTATTAAAATTATTTTGAAAGGTTGTATGCCTAGTTCCATGGTTGTAAATATTATAAATGGTTAACAGCATAAAAAATTAACTTAGCAAGCTGAGATCAAATTCCAGTCATAACTCATGACATTAGGAAAGGCA